CCCCAAAACCCCAAAACCCCAAAACCCCAATATTCTAACTATTCATTGAATTAGAAGTCGAATCATCTGATTCTATAGCCTATAAGCAATGGAATCTTTATTTTGTGAGGAAAGCATTTCCATGTTGTTAAAAATCGTATTGTCTCCTTAGTAATAAGCTTTATCAAAAAGGAGAAAATAACTTTAAAACTGCCTGATAAATAACTGAATTAGGGAGCTGAATAAGCCTTCTTATTAAGCAGAAATAGAAGTGACTTAAACTAATATTAGTGTTCATTTCAGAAACTAGGAGGGTGCATCCGAAGAAGGTGGCTCTTGAATAGTATGAGAGAGGACATGAAGTAGTAAAGATGTCATGCTTAGGAGAATATTTATTATTATCCTAAATGCTGCATGAAAGTAGTGTTATTCTGTAAGATGGTGAATAAAACTAGATAGGCCAAAGATGAATGTAGCAAGGTTGAAAATGAAAATGGAGATTAATTAGGTGCATAACTTGAGTTAGACACTGGTAAATTCTTCAGTGAAAGAGGGCCTTAGAAGTTTGTACTAGTGTTCCAAATTTTGGTTAGATCTCTCATCTAGCCTCTCATATTTTTGAATGAAGAAATAAAGCTTCAGAGAGAAAAAATGAAACAGTTGTGGTTTTCAACATAAATCTATTATTCAAACAAATTAGACTGGCCTTCTATTCTTATGAATAATGTCTTTTCCATAAAATCTTTTAAATGCTGCTCTATTCTTCTCACTTTTCTCTATGTATACTTTCTTCTCATCTAACTCCAGCTTCAAGGAGTAAATTACCTCTGATGTTGTAAGTAATGGCTTCTTCTTTGCCTAACCTAAATTTTAAATTCTTTAATGTGCTTCTTGATGGAAAATAAATAGGTTCTAACTCTTATTGCTAAAGAACTTTGGTTCATAAATACCCCTAATTAATTTCAAATCGCTTAGAACCAGTTGGAAATTTTGTGAATATCGAAGTAATAGTAATAGATGGATTCTTTTAGTGATAATTTTCTCTGTCTCCAGTCTTAACCAGCCCTTCACAAACTCCTCAAAGTTCTCAAGATTGAGAGATTGGTTTCATGGCTGTTATCTCTGGAGGCTAACTGAAGTATACCATCCATTCTTTTTATGTTTGATCTTATGGTCCATGTAAAACAGTTCCATTACAGTATTTAAGAAACAACTCCAGGAGGTTTTTTATTAGTATCAATTTTATCTGGGGGTTTAATGAGGAATCATGTAGGTGCTTTAATAGACTAGATTTCGCATTGGGAAAAAATGAACAGTAATAATTTAAGTCTCTTCCTTTCTTCCAGAATGTCTGCTATGGAGTTAGTCATGAAATATTTATATAGAGGGAAATGTATGCTTTTCTTAAAAGTGATCAGCTCTATTAGCACAGACAGTAATCTGATTTTTGATGCAAGGTTCAAGAGACTTACTATTTCTTTTTGTTCATTAATACCCATGATTATCAAACGAATTCCTTAACTTCAGGTCTTCTAATCTTCATTTTAAACACATGATACGGTTTAAGCTGATTGCAATAATCAAAATCAGACGAAAATGTTTAAACAATCTCTTTTAGATCTAGCCTAAATAATAGCGAAATGTAGCAATATAATCAAAAGAGTGAGGGTACAATGAAAAGAAGAGCTAGGCACGCCCTGAGTTCCAAACGCTAAGAAGCAGCTATTATTTCAAAACTTCCAAGACGTGGTTATTCTTGGGGAATTAGTTCTTAAAAATTTTTAGGAGTAAGACAAATGTAAATAAAGGAGGTAAAAACTAGGACGAGGGAATTGTAAGGGAATTTCTGGGAGCCTCTTCCTGTATTTTCTTTGAAAGAGAGTATTAGTTTTGGTATAGATCACTTTAATTTGAACTTTTCTAGTCTTACTGGTCAGATAGATTCAGTGATTATGAATGTAAGATTAATATTTATGAAGAAAAATAAAGCAAAGAAAATCAATACAAGTTTTCTAGAGTGATTAACCTTTAGATGAATTTCTCTGAATTAACTATAAGCTGCATCATGAGCTTTGGTTCAGAAAGAAGTATCAACTTTTAACTCAGAAGCATAGAAAGTATTTTTTCTCTGGAATTTTTGAAATAGATCCTGATCTAATTAGAGTCATTAAACATCTTGTAAAGTTGCCAGTCTCAATTATACTTTAACTCAAGCGATCAGGTCAAAAACCTAGTTCAAGAAAAGTCTCCCTTCCAGATATTTCTAAGATTTATATCATTGTGAGTTTGAGAAAGATGTTTATAATGACCTCTAATCTCTAAATTACCTCACTACAATCAGCAAAATTCTAAGTTTGATCATCTAAAATTATGTCATAGATATCGGCGTTTCAAGCTGATATAAATCTATCAATCAAAAGAAGATGCTTTGTGTAAAAGAGAATTTTCAGACTATCTGAGCACTCATGAAATGGGATTAGATAGACCACTTATCAGTAAGCCTGCTTAAAATGATAAAGAACGGTGAGATTATGTTAACTTTGGCTAAAACATCGAAAAGTCTACCAAACCCATTATCATTGATATCCAATTGCAGTGTCTTTTCCAATAATAAGCAGCACTGAACTAAGGAATTTCCATTGACACTCTGGGTATCGCCAATGATAGCTCTTGAGTAAGAGTGACTATGGCAATAACAATTAAATCTCAGAACTTTAATGTCTATCCCCACACCCTCCTGAGCTTACTAAATTTAAGCAAAAACTCCCAAAAGAATTTTTCTTGGCACGTAGAAAATTGAAAGCACACATAAAGTTCCAAACAAAGTTTCCTTGAGAAGAATCAATGCATAGCTCAATTCCTAGACTCCTATTGTCTGAGGTTGATCCTTTAGACTAGTTTTGGGTGTTCAGGACTAAGATAAACAATACTATAAAGGTAGAGAAGGCCATGATTAAATTTTAAACATTAAATTGTTATGTGTTGGCTGGAGAATGTTAAGCTCTATCCGCCATTAATATTTGGTTTGGGTTTATGAAGAAATAAAAGAGCTAGATATTTTATGCATGCAAAGAGGATGACGGAAGTTCTTTGTCCTCCACCTTTGTTGCTAGCAGCATGAAAAGGACAAAAAAATCTTCTTTTTTCAATTAAAGAATGTATCAAGGGGAGGGATGGATAATTGGCTTGAACAGTCTTTTTGTCTAGAATATTTCCCTGTCAATTTTTTGACTTTTAAAAGAAATTTCTTTTGAAAATAAGGAAATTATATCAGAAAGCATTATAATTGATTGGATAAAGAGGAAGAGCAGGAGAAAGCCTTGTAATACTAAAAAATAGTTGGGCCACATATTTTAATAGTATTTAGATTATCACAAGTATTAGCATTTCTTTTTTAGGAATAAATCTCAATTGCATCAAATAGTTTTAATTGATTTTAAATAATAAGGTAATAATAGATATTTTAGTAATCAAATTCAACAATTTTGGAATAGTATTTAAAACGCAGCAACCCAAAACTCAAATTATAATTAAAAGGGAAGTGGTATTTGAATTAATAGTACACGAAACTTATTGTTGGCCTATTTCCAGCATCAAGAAAATCTTCGACATTTCCATAGTAGGTTTTTTGGGGGGATCTTTGGGAATACTGAGATCTTGTTCTGTTAAAATAATCGGGATGAGGGTTCGGATCGATAGAATTTGGAATTTGATTTATTTTCTTCTGTTTGCTTTTCTTCTTATTAAAAGAAAAGCCTCTATTTGAAGGAGATTTTGAAACTAGAGAGTTATAAATACAAATGACGCATACTTAGTTTTTGCTTAATGAAAGACGGGTTATGACTTTTTGCCTGACCTATATAAAATATGTTGATTATAAAGCTCTTATATTTTCAAAAATAGTGCTCAAAAGTCTCAATACTTATTTCTCATATCATGAGAATGAAATAAGTAATAGTAAGAAATAACTGTGAAGCTGATTCAATAATTAAGCAAAGATTTTATAATTATGAGTGACAATAAGATAATCAAATGGAAACAAAAGTATCAAACATTGAGTATAATTTTGAGAGGTACTGAATGCCTTACTTCTTAGTTCATTATATTTAATGCTTGAACTCTGCCCAAGATTGTCATTGCTATCATTTAGATTACCTGTAAGATAATTGACACCATTTACTTTGTTTTTGAGATTCTAAAATATTTTCTTATTTTTACCATTTGGTTGCTCTTTATCCTCCTCAAAACCTTGTAGCTTCTGTTCAGCATTTAGTAAAGATTCTGAAACCTGAATCGATTTTGTTTGACAGTCTAAGGAGCTATTATATGAAATCATTACTCTTTTTTGTACAAATCGTGCTTTCAGTCTTTTTATTATTCTGAGCTTTAGGCTTGTCATTCATGGTATGAATGCTGCCATAAAGAGTAGGCATCAGAGCCTTTTGATATCTTTCATCTAGAGTATTGACTTCAACAAAAGCAAGGTTAAAACTACTTTTAGAAGGAAATATCAATGAATTATTAATCCATATTGATATTAAATTCTTTGTAAACAATTTCAAATTGTTAAAAGTATTGGGGAAGCTATCTGAACTAAAAAAAGTTATCTAATCAAGACAAAAGCAACTAAATAACCTCTTAAGTATCAAAGAATAAGTCCTATCTTTATGGAGAGATAAAGCAGAGATTAATGGCATTAATATTCCTTTGAAAAATTTATTTTGTGTTATATAATGAACCTTATCCAGTCATTTTATTTTTTACTAATATCAGAAACTAAGCTGAAAGTAAATTAAAGTACCCTAAATCTCTATGGTTCAAAACTAAGATCTCTAACAATTTATTTGGATGCTAGTCTTCAGAACAAAAAGGAAGTATCCAAAATAGTAAAATTGGTTGCTCTAAATAACACTTTATATAAACAATTTAGGAATGGAATTTCCAATCGACATGTAGAAAATCTTACCGCAGTCAATCCATTCAGAGGTTTTCAAGCTCATGGTCGTCATTGCTATTTGGATTAAGCTTGTTTCTAAATCCATACTCAAGTTTTTGCTCTCTAGAGAGAACAGAGGGTAAAGCATATCTTTTCTCTTCTTCTTTAGTTTCACTCTGCTTGCATAGATTATTTGTGCATGGGTTCCTGTCTATTGAATTGTTTTCGATAATATCTATATGTCATTCATTCATCCTCTAGAAGATATCATATTGACCTTCGCTTGCACGGTTACGTAGAACATTACTCCCGCAACAGCCTTCAAAAAATTGGCTGGCTATTATTTTCATGTTCTCCATTCTGATTAAATTTATTACTCAATGTTGAAGAGTTAATATGGGGTTTTGGGGTTTTGGGGTTTTGGGGTTTTGGGG